AGACAACTTTTTTGGTGCTTTCTAAATTAAATTTTTAATAAAAATTTTATTATTTCAAGAAATTTTTGTACAAAAAAAATTATTTTAAAAAACAATAAAAAAATATCTCAAACGAAGTCTAAGTTTTATTTGGGATGATTTTTTTATTGCTTTTTAAAATAATTTTCTAGTTTGAAAATTAATTTTTTTAGACTAGAAAGCTACTATAAGAAGCAAGAAGAACATACATACCACTTAAAACTAGGATATTTACTTATTTAATACCTAAACTATGTTATTTACACACATACCACTAAAAACCTTTTCTTATTTCTAAAAAACCACTCCGTCTCTTCTCTCCGCGCTCTCCATCAAAGTCCGCTCGACTGCTCAGTTCGCAAACTTATTTTGGGCGCCAAAATCAGCTTCAGCTCGCGTTTGCTCATTTTATCCAAGAACAGAGCAGATCATTTATTCCCGTCGAGACACCTCGCGCCATCGTCCCTTTGTGTTCCCGTCGAGACACCTCTTCTCTCCGCGCTCTCCGTCGTCCCAGTGTGTGCTTTCTCGGTAATACCCTGCATTTCTCGTTTTAGTATAGTTTTGAACATTTTCGTATGAAAGGCATTCTTTCTGTGCAAGGCATGTAAGAAAGATTTGTTTTTCAAGAAAATTCCATCCAGTTATTGAATAGTGATATTTCAGAAGAAAAATCTTCCATCAAGTTTTTGCCCGCCGCGTAGGAGGAAGAACGAACTGAAGCTTGTTTAAATAAATGATAATAGGAAAATTGTTGAACTTTTCTTATTAATAAGTATTTTAACAGAACTTTTAATTTTTCTCATTTATTACTTTTGTGCTAGATATGGATTTCAACAGTTGGTGCTATATTGTGTTCAAATATGGAGGATATTGGAGTGCAGTCAAGGGACATAACAGGCTAAAATATGTTGGTGGTAGCCAGAGAACTTTAAAGATTGGGATAAGTGATGTCAATTTGTATTTACTAAAAGAACGAACCGAAGCTCTATGCCCGTGGCTAAAGGGTCATGATTATGAACTACACTATCACATTAATGGTACATGGCCTAAAAATTACATGCCCATTATAAGTGATATTGATGTAATGGACATGGTTACATATTCTTCTGGTTCCCATAGAATGGAGATTGTTGTCGTTGTGAAAGAGCTTGAAGAAAATATGAGTATGACTTGTGATAGCGACCATATTGAGATGCATGATTTAAGTAGCAACAAAAAGACAAACAATGATGATTTAGTTGGTGGAATTTCTGATGGTGTTATTCAAAGTCCTTATTTAGAGGATAATTCCCTAGTTGTGGGATCACGTTTTGAGGATTCATGCAGTTTCAAATAAATCATTCGTTCCAATGCAATAATACATAACTTTGATATCAAGATTAAGGCTAGTGACAAAACACGAGTTATTGCTACATGCTCATATCGTGGTTGTCCTTGGAGGATAAGAGCTTCGTTATGTTCTGATGGTCACTCTTTTGAAGTGAAAAGATTGCATCCTACACATTTATGCCCAGGGGTGAATAGAGCTGGGAACAAGCAAGCGACTACAAGTTGGGTTGCACAAGAAATCCAAGACATTGTCAAAAGAAATCCTGATATCACACCAAAGGACATTAGTAATACCTTGGAGAGTACTTATGGTTTGAGTTTACCTTACATGAAAATATGGCGATCAAGGGCACTAGCAAGAGATCAAATGTTTGGATCAATAGATGAGAACTATAAGTGGGTTCCAACGTTGAGGTCTGAATTACTCAAAAGAAATCCAGGCTCTCATGTTACATATCAATGTGACAACAACAACAAATCATTCAAGAGATTCTTTGTTAGTTTTAAAGTTTGCATTGATGGTTTCCTCTCTGGTTGTAGATATTTAATTGGTGTTGATGCATGCCATTTGAAATCAAAATATTTAGGTGTTCTACTATCTGCAAATTGTCTTGATGGGAATAATGGGCTCTTCACAATTGCAATTGCTGTTGCTGAATCAGAATCGAAGAAGAGTTGGGAGTGGTTTCTTAAAAATTTGTCAGAAGCATTTCGTTCTGAAATAGAACATTTGGCCTTCATATCTGATATGGAAAAAGGGCTTGGTGAAGCTATAAGGGTTGTTTTCCCAAAAGCCGAACATAGGGTGTGCATGAGACACCTATGGAAGAACATTAAGAAATTCTTCCGCTGTGAAGATGGGAAAAATTTGCAGAAGTTGGTTTGGACAGCCGCAAATAGTTTTAGTGAACACATTTTCAATGCATCTTTTGAAGAAATCAGAAACCTAAGTCCTGGAGTATATTCATACCTGAGTGCCTTGACATGTAAATGGTCAAAATCCTCTTTTTCACACCATATTAAAAATCATTACAACACAAATAATATGTCAGAATCTTTCAATTCTTGGGTGGAAGAGGCTAGGAGTAAGCCAGTTGTGGATCTAATCGACATGGTTAGAGGAATGATAATGGAGCAACGTTCTCAAAGGAAGTTAAATTGTAGTTCTTAGAAAGGGCCACTTGTTCCTTGCGTTGAGGAATACCTAAGAGATGTCACAACAACGAAAGATCACTTTATTATTCGCCAATCAACTTCAACCAAGGCTGAGGTCGAAGGAAGATACGAAAGACATGAGGTTGATATTGAAAACCATATTTGTAGTTGTGGATTTTGGCAAGTGAGTGGACTTCCATGTGTGCATGGTGCTTCATTCATTGGATCGAAACAGTACAATTTATGGCACAGCTATGTGGACAATCACTACTACACATCTAGGTTTGCAATTTATTATTGTTGTTCTTACTTTTACTATTTCTGTATTTACTATCCAGCTTTATATATCATTGTTACTTTCTCTTTCCAATTCCATTTCATCAAATAGATATAGAATAGCTTATGAAGGAGCGATAGGAACACTATCGGGGAAGGATCAGTGGTCGATACTTAGTGATGGAGAGGAGGTTGGACCTCCAATTTCAAGTAGGCCTCGTGGAAGACCAAAGAAGAGAAGAATAAAAAACTTCTTGGAAACTACTAAAAAGACAAAATTGAGTCATAAGTGTGGACGTTGCAACTCGTGGGGACACCATAGAAGCACCTGTAAGAACCCTTTAAATGGTGACAGACATGGAAATGATGATGACTTTGAAATGCCGACAATATCTGCTCCACGTGAGAAAATGCCGATTAGGCGTGTTGATCGTCGCTGATAATCAACTATATTAACCTTATATTTTGCTTCAGATTTTTTGTAACAATTTGGCTTCAGATTTTTTGTAACATTTTGGCTTTCCCAGGTTCAGAATTAATATTATCAGAGATGTAATATTTTGCTTACAAATTCTGTAATGGTGACGGACAAACTTGCAAACGTGCTTTCCCAGATTTAACTTCCCATTTTTTGCTTACAAATTTGATTAAGAAAATGAAAACTGAGATCGGGTCAGATTTAATCGCACGCAGATTTGCTCATATTTACTAATTCAAATTTGAGCGTCGGCATTTACCTCCAGATTTGTAACATTTTTTTTATTTTTTTTTCCCAGGATCTTACAAATTTTGGCTCAGATTTACTAATTCAAATTGCAATCTAATTCAATCGCACGCAGATTTGCTTACCTATTCTGGAGTAATGCCGCAGATAGTAGAACACTTGAGCGTCGGTTACAATTAATTACAGGTTCGCAGATAGTAGAACTAATTGCAGCAAGCAAATATTGAGATTAATCAGTATTCCCGGCAAATTCATACAACAATTAAGCCAATATAACACATACATTTCGGTGAGAATTAATATCACAGCAAATTCTACTCATTAATAGAAATGTCGGTTACAACAATGAGAGTTACAAATATGCAAATTCAACTCACAACACTTCGATATAATCTTAAAGTCACCTACAAAAAGCAAAAGCACAATCGTACTCATTTACAACTACAACACTTTGAACTCATATTCAAGTCAACTACAACAAGAAAAATTAAGATCACCAAAAACATTTTAATTTGAAAAAAGTCATTTTTAACTGAGACAGCCTGGTTCGAACGGACTTCAGCTGCATTTGCAATTGTAAACTGATTCATTTCTTGTGATAAATCATTTCGTTCGTTGACCCACCTAAAAAATTGATAATCATCCTCTGATCTGTTACGCGGGCATCGGTAGAACTTTCTGCCACGATTATTGGGTTTATAGCAAGTATAAATTGAACATTTTAGATTACAATGACAATATATAGGTATCTCCCGGTTTCGCATTGATGTCGACGACCGGCTCGAACTTATTTCACAAAACGAAGATACCTGTAATTGCAAACCAAATCTTTACAAATTTCATTTATATGAACAAAGCATAAATTGTACTGTTTTTATAGAGAAAGCAAAATGAAAAACACATACTAAGAAGACACGGACTGAAGAATGAAGAATGGGGATGCGTGAAAACGATTACCACTACCGATTTTGGCCAAACAAAATAGGGAAAAGCAAACACATATTAAGAGAGAAGAAAAAAAATACTAAGAACACATACTCTTCAGAAAAATCAGAATGAACGGACTGAAGAATGAAGAATGGGGATGGCGTGAAAATGAAGAAAGGGGATACTTCACCCGGCAAAGGAATGAGACGCGATGGCGTGCAAAAGATTGAGAGGCGATGGCGTCGAAAATAGAAGATTTCACCTAGCAAAGGGAGGCGGCAACTTCGACTAGGGCTACTCAACCTTGCGAACTGAGCAGTCGAGCGGGATCTGACGGAGAGAAGAGACGGAGTGGCTTTTTAGAAATGAGGTTAGGTTTTTAGTGGTATGTGTGTAAATAATATAGTTTAGATGTTAAATAAGTAAATATCCTAATTTTATGTGGTATGTATGTAAAAAATCCCTTTTTTTTTAAATCGGTCGACGTATTTGTGTAAACCAGCGGCTGAGATTTCCCGTCCGCTCCCGTCAATCCTGCTTAACGAACTCTACGTACCTTTCTATTTCCTTACACATTTTCGTTTTTGACGGGAACGCGGAACCAGCGATCGAGGTTGAGGAAGGTAAACTTGACGTCCGATGAGGAGGACGACGAGCTTGTCGGAGTTCTCGTCATTTCTTCGGCCGTCGAGCCGCCCGACTTGGTCGGATGAGAATCACTCGGAAAAGATTCGACCGGCCCCGAAACGGAAAGACGTCAAACAGAGGCACTCGACTGATCTATCATCGGTGAATGCGGCCCATTTCGTCGATGCCGACCCCTTCCTCAATGCTTGCGGCTTCTGCAAGCGCAGCATTGGCGCCGGCATTGATACATTCATGTATAGGTATTGCTCGAAGAAAACTCTCATAGAAACCAAAAACATCTTGCGAATTCTGAAAACTATTTTTTAGATACAGAGAAAACATCGGGAATTCCTGGTCTTTGGGAACTTTTTTATCATTTACATATGCAATAAGATGGGAAAATACATTTTTGGATATCTTTAAATATAGATTTTCTATGATTTAACTTTGATTAATGCTTTGAATTTTTCCGATTGTACGTATTCGTCATAAATGCCTCTAACGTTTCCTTTCTTCCTTCTTGACCGCTTCATCATTTTTCACCTATGTTCAACACATCTTTTGAGATGGACATATCTAATAAAACAACACCACCTAAACATAGAGAATTATCTCTCTAATGATCTAGCCATACCAACACCTCCAGGGAAATCCCATATTCAATTCATGGCATTCTTATTATTTGAAAGTCTACACCATCTGCAAAAGGTAATTATTCGTCTTATTTTAAAGAAAATTATCCTTGTTACTCCACTATATCCATCTTTCATAAGACATACCTATTTTCAAGCATATTCTTTTAGCAACAAGCTATACAGGAAGGACTAGATGCCTTAATAAGTTCATACTTAGGGTTTTGTTGATTTACCTACGTAGAAGTTGACATTTGATTGTAAGTGGATTTCTAGTCAAAATTACGCAGACGGGTCTCTTGAGCTTCCTAGAGCTTGCATAGTTTCCAAATATTTGTGCATTTACTCATTGTTATTTCTACTCTCCGCAATTGGCCTTTTTTTTTAAATGGGATGTCAAGAATACCTTCCTTAAAGGTGATCTCCGAAATGATGTCTATATGCAAAGTCTACCTGGTCTTGATGTTCCCTCAAAAATGGTTTGTCAACACGACAAGCTTTTTATGTCCTTTAACATGTTGCTAAGATCATCTCGGATCAAAATCTCATTTTTCACTCCAAACTGCAGTGAAACTCAAAAATGTCATGATTCATCTCCAATCAAACTCCATTTTGCGCTCATCTACGAAGGTAACCGTCTTTCTTCTCATTCGCACGTTTCTTCGTCAAATCCGGTTGAGACAGAAAATTCGTGTAGGTGAACAGTGCAACGTCAATATTGGCGTCGCGTTGTTCACCTGCAAGCAAATAGCGGAAGATTTGGCATTTTGGCTGGAGCGACCGAACGACGTCATACGCATGTTTGGCGTTCGGTTGGAGATGCTCTAAGCATGATTTGTAAAGTCCCACACATGATTAAAATTATCATTGCTCCTCCAATCCTCATGATCCACTATTTTGTTTAGCACACTGATATTTACACTATCTTAGTATTTATGTGGATGTTATGATAATCCTTAGTGATGATAAGGATGATATCTCAACGCTGAAAAGGGATTTTTAACACTACTCTGTAATAGAAAGATCTTTACATTTACATTTCTTTATTGATCTTAAAATATCCTCATATTCTAGTAGTTATTACCTCTCAAAAGCAAAGTATGTTTCTTATCTTCTTAATCATACTGGAATCACCGATTTAAAACTTGTCTCCATTTCTCTAGAACCTCATAGTCATCTTCACTCTATTAGCAGAATACCTGTATAAGATCCTGATTTCTTTGGTATAGGTTTGGTTTACCTCACTAGTCCTAACATAGTCATAGTTAATTCCTTGCAGCACATTGTTATGGTCATGTTGTTGTTATTCGCATTCTTTGTTATATGTTTGATAACCTATATGGTGGACTTGATATCTCTACAGATACGTGTTGCTCACTTTCATATTTATTGGGCTAGTGACCCTGTTGACTGAAAATCTATCACTAAATTTTATTTCTTCTTTGCCCCTTAGTTTCTTGGCATAGTCAGAAATAAATGTGGGTTGTTCTTTCCCATGCTTAAGCTGAATGTGATAACCTTATAAACATTGTGGTATATATATATATTTTGCTTACTCACCATTTTAAGTAGTGTGTAATGCTCCTATTACAAACTATGATAATTATTGTGCAATTTCTATTGTTCAAAAAAAAATTTTTTTTTTTGCTTACTCACCATTTTAATTAGTGTGTAATGCTCCTTCTATTAAGCATTTAAACTCATAATTGTATCAAGCAAGTTGAAGCTAATTGTTATTTCATTTGTGTCGAAATTGTTCAACATAAGTCCATTGTTTCTCTAGAACAACTAGCCAACATCTTCAACAAAGTTCATCTTCTAAGGCAATTTCAATAGATATATTACCAAATTTATATTGACATTTTTTGTGCCTCTTTAGCATTCTAGTCTTATACAAAAATCCAGCACACAGACAGATAAGAGAGAAGGGTGTAGCATTCATAAGAGACATCAAGATTTTTACGTGAAAAATAATGAAAAAGGAGAAAGACAATGGGGCATGACCCAGTTTGAATAAATCTACTTGTGTTTGTGGTTGATTATAAATAATGTCCTTCCTCAGAGGAGGTTGTTGGTTCAATGTAGTAAATACACATTGTATAGAGGACACTACAGCATGATAGTTGTTCTTAAGGGAGTATTGGTATATATATTTGTTTGGTCAGTTGGGCCATAGCCAGCAAGCGATGGTGGTCAGAAGGATCATAGTCAGCGAGCAACTGTGATCAAAGAACCGTAGTCGGCGAACTTTGACCACCATCGACGAATGACGGTGGTCGGAAGGAAAGTAGTTGATGGGAGACGATGGTCAGAAGGACCGTAATTGGCGGGCGACGGTGGTTGGCAGGACTGTAGTTGGCGAGCGACGGTGGTTGGAAAGATTGTAGTCAGCGGGCGATGGTGGTTGGGAGGACCGTTGTCGGTGGGCGACAATGGTCGGAAGGACCGTAGTCGGCTGGCAACAATGATTGGAAGGACCATTTTCGGTGGGCGACGGTAGTCGGAAATGCCGTATTCAATGGGTGACGGTAGTCGACAGGCGACGGTGGTCGGAAGAATTGTAGTGAGCTAGCGACGATGGTAGGAGTTGACCGTAGTCGGCGGGTGACGGTGGTCATATGGACCGTAGTCGGTGGTCGACGGTAGTCGAAGTGGACCGTAGTGGCGG